CAATTGGAGCGTTGCCAAATCGCACCGCGATTGGAATCGCCTGAGGTATGCCTTAAGCCTTGAAGCTGCGCTAGCTTGTCCAACCGATATGCAAGCAAATATTAGGTTTTTCAAAAAGTCCTGCCAGTAAGGGTATGGTATGGCTATTTTGTTTTATTTGCAGAATCTAAGAGTGGCTGCCAATCAACGATGTTTAGTTATATACACCAGCAATCTTTGTAATCAAGCATAGCGCTGGCTTCACCTTGCTAGATGAAGCTCCAAGTAGCTGAGCAAGTAGTGATGGATGTCGTTATATCTTACGAATACGAAGTGTACAACTCAGATTTTCACGTAAGCTTCGGGTTTGGCAGTCTAACATCTGAGAAAAGTGCCATTTTGTGGTCCTTATATTTGCGAATTATTGCCCTTCTTTGGAGAACAAGGTCTGGGGTCTCGCAAATTTTTTCAAGCTGATTAGCGTATCAAATAGCTAACACCATCGCGCATTGAAAACAAAATTCATACGATCGGATTACCTTTTAGTTTTGAGAAAGATTGGCAGAACTTCTTGGACAACCTGGCATGTTCTCCACTTCAATGAACTATGGAATATCTTTTAAAATGTACAACTTTCCTACCTGCGTGAGGTAAACGAGCGAAGTATCCTCCGAATCACCAAGAGCAGGACGTCGTGGCTGTGACCTGGATCTGGATCGACTTACAGTGATGGGTCTTTGCTTTACTGGACTGATTCTTTGACAAGATGTCCCTTCAAACATAGCCTTTGGCCTCATTTCGTACCGTACTCGTGCATTTTGTGGAACTTCGTACAGCTGCGATGGTTGCTGCACAATATAACGAACTCGAGTGTTTTCTATAGGGACAATCTGTGAAGGCTCTAGATACGTCGGCACATCTTGCACCATCTCTCCGGAAAGGCCTTGAATGTACTCGATAGGTTCAACTTGAGTTTGCACCATCTCGTCCTCTACGATCTCATTTGCGGCTACTTGGAGATTGTCGACCGATTCTATTAGCTCATCGACCTCGTGCCCTTCGTCAGGCATCAGATACACTTCCTCATCGGTAGGGATCTGCAATAATAATTTCGTCTTTGTACTCCTTCTATGCCAAGCTTTCTAACCTGATTGATTATCTGAACATCTTCATATTGTGCATCTACTGGAGATGGTGTTGTGTCTTCTTGATATATGACATCTGACAAAGACTGGATCCAGGCGTCATCTTCAGCAACCACGTAGCGAGGCATAGCTTGTCCAGCTGCAATTCCGCTAGTGGATGGAATCATTTGTTCAAAGAATGGTCCATCTCCATCCGTGGATCCTTCAAGATACACGTCATATTCGTTGAACATCTGGAATGTTACTTTTACATTTGTTAGAAAAAA